CAAATCGTAAAGCTATTTCGACTCGTGTTTTATGCGAAAAGTAATATTTATGTAATCGAAAACGTAATTTTCAATCAAAATCTAAGAATAAAATGAGATTGCACTCAGTTCTAAATTTTCATCAAGTTTATTAATAAACTCCCCTTCAGCTGATTCTGATATAAAAACAACAAACAAGGAATGTTCACAATGCGAAGTATATAAATTTATTCGTGCATATTATACTGGCTATGCAGATTAAAATAACGTAAAACTCTGACCATTTTAAAATTTTAGGTACTTCCTCATTTATGTACATAAATATTCATTTGTTACTTATGCAGATACAGATAAAGATTACCATGATGATCGCCAACATTCGTCACGGATAAGCATAGAAAGAAGGAAGACTTATCCTGAGATAAAATTCTGCTCAATCTTTTCGAAAGACGTCACATTTTCCATTTTCTTACGTATTCTTTTTGTATTTATCAAGCCTTGTACTATCTTTCACTCTTCTGAGAACTACCATTTAGCTAGCTTGGATTGTAGAGTATATCTTTGTTTAACCAGCTTTCATATCCATATAACATTATAGACGTGAATTATGTTGTTCTTCAATGTTTTGTGAATTGTTCCGTGCAATTCCAAATTGTTGATTATAATTTTTTTATCGTTTAGCAATGAGATCGGAGAACGGCCAACTAAGAACCAATAATGAATAAAATAGTAAAGAGACAAATGGTAGGGGCATATGATGAGAGTGTAACCCAACAGAATTACATGAAATGGATATAGCATGTAAAGTTAAACAATCACTTGAGGAATTAAAAATAATGGCAGGAAATAGCAAAGAATGGACGCGATGGGTGAATGGAAATTAAAATAGCTGGCCCAAATCCGAGAGCCTGATAGGGTAAAAGGAAGGGGGGAAAGAAAGAAAGAAAGCATAAAAAATGTGATCCTACATAAAAATATAATTGACCAAAAAGAGAATCCGTTTAAAATTAGATCGCTATGTTTTAGAAAAAAAGTTAGGTCCTATAAAATGTATATAAATTTAAAAAAAATTATAAATAATTAAACGTATCTCAAAAGATAATTGACCATTGATAATTCAATGAGCTCCAACATAATCCAACATAATGCATAATAATCTAAAAACACCGTTTTTTACACCTTAAAAGTGCCATAAAAAAATTATAACCAACAGTTTGGAGTTACCAACACTTGGAGGTTCATAATAAGGCAGCTAATGGAAAATACAGTATTAACGAAACAATAAGTTACAAGTAATAACAACAGAATTGCCAGATATAGCAAAAATTCCACCGAGCGATAACCAACAGTTTGGAGTTTCCAACACTTGGAGGTTCATAATAAGGCAGCTAATGGAAAATACAGTATTAACGAAACAATAAGTTACAAGTAATAACAACAGAATTGCCAGATATGGCAAAAATTCCACCGAGCGATTGCTGGTATAAGCAATCCGACACTTACTGACCAATGTCTTTGAGCGGATGAGTTGGTAAGTGGAAGGGCACTCTTATGTCCTTTCGCTAAGAAATTTGCACTAAAGGCGAATGAATCGAGTAAATGGCCAACGGCATAAGGATACGGAAGGCAAGAAGAAACCACTGCATGAAATATTCAATTGGATATCTCTAGTACTATCATCATGGCAAGGAGTACTAAAAGAAAAAAAAAACTGATCATGGGAATCGGAGTCCAAGATGCGGCAGGGGAAGAACAGACAAGGACTCCCAGGTCATTAACCAGCGAAACCCTTCTCAAACATCGAAACGAGACAAAGTAAATTTATCTAAAGCAAAAATAGATACGTGAAACGTCAAAAGCATGTATTAACCTGGTGAAATGTATAACACCCTTCAAGAAATAAGAAGAATATATAAATAATATATTATGTGTAAGTACAACATGGTGGCCTAACTCAGGATACCTTTCGACAGAAACCGATACCTTATTTCTTCTTAGAGTGCCATATCCCTACGGAACGTCGGCGACTACCATGTTTATAATATTGTTATACTGATCTCGGTCTTGCGCTACGTGTAGCAATTGGTCCGCTGTCAAACCTGTCCACTGCCGCAAATTCCTCTTCCAAGAGAGTTTCTTCCATCCTATCCATTTCTTTCCTTCGATTTTACCGTTGAGAGTTAGCCGAAGGAACTCATATCTTGGTCCTCTGATTATATGTCCAAGATATTCTAGTTGACGCCTCTTAATAAGATTTAATAGAGTTCGTTGATGTCCCATTCTTCGAAGAACTTCTTCGTTTTTACTTCTGCTAGTCCATGGAATTTTTAGTATCCTTCGATACAACCACATCTCAAACGCCTCGATTTTATTCATGATATCGGCGTATAGAGTCCAAGTTTCACATCCATACAAAAGTACAGACCACACGTAACATCTTGTAAACTTTTCACGGATTTCCAAATTTAATGAGTTATTGGATAATAGAGGCTTAAATTTTTGAAATGAGTTTCTTGCCTGTTAAATTCTACATGAAATTTCGAAGGAAGGATCTAGATTTTGGGTAATCCAACATCCAAGGAATCTCTGAACTCTCTGCAGCGGTTGTTGGTTTAATATCAGTTGGGTTGCGCCGATATCCACTTTACTGGTCACCATGTATTTAGTTTTATCGATATTTATCGACAGTCCCCAATTTGTGCATTCCATGTCAACTCTATTGATTAGCTCCTGCAGATCGTCGATGTTTTCAGCTAGAATCACAGTATCATCGGCGTACCGTATATTGTTAATTATTTCTCCTCCTATGATAATTCCTTTTTGATCTTTTAAAGCTTCCCTAAATAGATTCTCAGAATACACGTTAAAGAGGGTGGGAGATAGTAGACAGCCTAGTCTTACGCCTCGTTCAATACTGATTGGCTTTGATTCTCTGTTGTTGGTATTAATAATGGCTGTTTGGTTCCAGTAAAGTTTGGCAATAAGTTTGATGTCTTTCTCATCTAGTTGGATGCTCTGCAAGGCGGTAATTAGTCTGGTATGCTGAACGCGATCAAATGCCTTATCAAAATCAATGAAGCACATATATACGGGTTTTCTTACCTCCCAACATCGTTGAAGGAGTGTTTGCATAGAAAATAGTGCTTCTCTAGTTCCAAGGCATCTCCGGAACCCGAACTGCTCTTGACTAATTATTTCTTCGCACTTGTTAATTCGGTTTAGAAAATATGCAACAGTATTTTAACGGCATGGCTCATTAAACTAATGAGTGTACAATCGCTACATTTCTTAACGTTTGGTTTCTTAGGTAGAGGAATAAAGATCGATTTTAACCAGTCCGATGGAATTTTACCTGTATCATATATGTGATTGAAAAGTACAGTGAGTTCTTTTATATTGTCATTTGAGAGTAATTTTAGCCATTCGCTGTATATTTGATCTGGTCCACTGGCTTTGTAGTTTTTGTATACCTGGTATTTTATATTACTCGGGAAACATTGACAACCAGCATAGACGTGGAGTAACAATTATTGTCGATACAGAGGTCAACAAGTCAATAGAGGGTTTTGTCCCAATCTCAGAAAGAGTGATGCTACTACAAATAAGGACATCACAAACAAAACTAAATTTGATCCAAGTTTTTTAACATCTAATTTTGGAGTTTTTTGGGGTTTTCTAATACGTTTAAGCTTAAGCGTGACATTAGCGAGTGGGTTATAGTCTGATGTGACATCTGCTCCTGGATATGTTTTAACTGATTTGATGGTAATATGATGATATCTCTCTTTAATCATTATATAATCGATTTGGTTTCTTACCACTTTTTCTGGTTTATTTGCTGGTGAATGCCATGTATATAACCGTCTCATAGGTAATTTAAACAACGTGTTTGTGATTATTACACTTTGTTCTTGGCAGAATTGTATTACACGATCTCGTCTATCGTTACGTTCCCCTAGTCCGTGATCTCCCATTATTGTACCAGATCTGCGCTTGCCGACTTTTGCATTGAAATCGAACTATTCAGAGCGACAAGATCTAAGATCAGAGTCTTCTTCTTCTTCCCATGGCACCGTCGCCTTTCGAAGGTTGGCGATCCAAATGGCAATTGTAATTTTGGAAACTGATGCGCGAAAGATTTCTGCGGATGAGCGGTCGAACCATCTCCTCAGGCCTTTCAGCCACGAGTTCTAGCGTCTTCCTACTGTACTTTTCCTTCCACTATAACTTGAAGTAGTTCATATCTTTCGCCTCTCAACACATGACCCAAGTATTGCATTTTCCTCTCTTTGATTATTCTTAGATCAAATCACAATAGGCATGATGATTGCTAACCTCCGTCGCGAAAAGAAGAGAAGATTCTCATTATTGTTGGATCAGCTAACAGAGAAACTACAGTGTAACATTTCCTGGTGCTTAATTTATGCTGATGATGTAGTGTTGGGAGTAGTAGTAGGAAATACTGGAAGAGACTTATCTAATATTCATCAATATGTGCTTACACCAGCAACCCCTTCATCATTCAAAAATATTATGTTGTGTATGATATTGTTACATTCAACCCTTTATAAAATCGTATATATTCAGGCTTAGCCCGGACCACCTAACTTAATTTTTTCATTGGGCCATATACTTTTATTTCTCATAGCATTTCTACTCAAACGTGAAGCGATTCTATGCAGCATGGCTTTGAGTAAAAGATAAAATGCGAGGCATAAGTGTACGGCGCGGCCTGTTGAGTTACACCCGTGCGAGGCACACTTGGCCATCACTGTGTTAAGTAACATTTTGAAAATGATTTTCAATGTGAAAACCGAAACCTTAATAATATAAAAAAAATTATTTTGCAATTTACGAGCGGATTATCTTTTAAAATGACGATGAAATTTCGAAATCTCCACAAATATAGATTTTTGTAAAAAAATATCACAGATCGTGTGAGTAATAGTTTTTTTTTTCTATATAACTCGACATCATAGACTTATCTTATGACTTATCGACAATACTAAAATAAAACTCACCTTTTCCAACAAAATATTTTCTGTAATAGAGAGCTCCTTGGTCGACATTTTCTATCGGCCTAGGAAATCGCTGGTACGGACAAGTCGAATGTCTCCAATGGGTCTCCCCGGAAGAAAATTCCAAAACGGCCACTCCATAAGCCAGGGGAGGTCTGTGAAGAGGTTTTCTGTTGTGTCCATTTTGTAGCCTGTAAATAAACCGATTTATTTGTAAAAAATTGTTACTCATTTGATAATTGAATATGTTTTTAAATGCAATTACATACTACTTTTATTGGGAATAAGCCACAATTTAAGTTTAAAAGAAGTTTATTTTAAAATGTTTTTTTTTTATTTATTTGCTTTCATGAAAATTTGTTTAATTTATTATTGTTTTGTATTTTAAAAACGATTTCCGAAGTGAAAATTGAAACGTCAAAAATTTCAATTGTGGCATATTTCCAATAAAAGTAGTAATTACATTAAGATGCCACAAGAAAATAGCTTCAGAACAATATGTTTTTAAATAAAATAACTTTTAATTTATTACGAATTAAATATCTTGTGTTTATCATTAAATATTTAAATTAGCTGTTAAATAAATAAATATTTTACTAACCTGGACAAACTTACTATCCTCTCTTCTTCACCTCCTATTTCATTCCTAAAGAATGGGCAGTTCTCTACTAAATCGTTACTCTGTCCATCTCCAGTGTCGTCTTCGTTTTCGCCGTCAGGTGTAGAAGATCGAACCATCACAGAAGCAGCAGAAGCACCTGTAGCTGTTTGTTTTAGAACAATATCTTTTCATTTAGTGCTTCACCAAATTTATTGGTGCCGCATGCAAAAGAAGTGCAAGCAAAAGAGGAGAATTTCTAAGACGTACAAAGATTAAAAAATTATCAATCGACGGCAAAAAGTTAGAATACGGACAAAAAACAATGATCTATGTAGAGGTGCAAGGACCGATACAGAGGAGTCAGGTATTATGGTTATATAGAAAGCAGTGCTGGATGGTGACTTACATGCGATATCCAACTACCAAAGATCTGGGTTATATAAAAAAAACTTTACATTTTATTGTAGATAAATATAAGGAATGTAAACTCTATAGGGACAAGTCCACATGAACTAAATAAAAGGTAGCATTCACAAGAGGCGTACAGATATCTAATGGTTACAGGACACTATCAACTAAAGAAACACATCAACACATTTTGACTTTGCAAGGACCAATACAGAGGAGTCAGGTGTTAGGTTTTATATATATAGGTGCTGGATGGTGACACATGCGATATTCAACTAACAAAGATCTACATTATATAAAAAAAACTTAACATTCTATCCACTAAAGTATAATTATTAAAAATACGCAAACTATGATCTAAAAACACGGTAGCTGAGTTTCGGATAATCAAATGCTTGCAGGCCACTATCAACTAAAGAAACACATCGACAAATATTGACAGCAGAAATCCTATCTTCCCATACAAAATTTATTCACTTTCACTAAGAACATGGGACTTATGATGGAGTTTAATGAATTTACAGTGTTTGATAAAAAGGTTGACCATAAAGTGTCATATACAAGTAGTGTATTGTTGCCTGTTTTCAAAAGAAAAAGAAAACACCAATACTGGGAAAATTAAACAGAGGAGTTCGAAAAAAAAACAAAAGGATGTATGTTCTATTATAATGCATATAAGAAATCCACTGAACACCATTTTCATCATCAACACTACGTTACTACAATGATTGTTCTAGGTTACAGCAAAGCATTTGGGTCTTTGTTGGCGATACTGACAGTAGCTTATTAGAAAGCCGAAAATTATATAAAGGTATAGTACAAAAAGTGTTAGTATTTGACTTGGAGAGACAGAAATTAGGTATACAAACAACTTAATACCTTGAAGGTATGTGGAAACGCATCCACCAGAAAGAGTAATGAGTGAACAATAGGAAACTATTGCGATGATGATATAAGGCAAATTAACTCAATTTTCTACACTAGGTCATTAGGTGACACGGGAACAATGCCGTCAATTGACAGAAACTACACCAATAAACAAATTTACCTGTATTTCGTCTCTTCGCCAACAGATTCCTCCTCAACCTAACGGCGTAGTTTAAATTCGTCGTCAACGATTGACAATCGTAATGCGCAAACGCACGCCTCCTCGCGATTTCTTCACTCTCGGCGGAAATACACACCGAAGTACTACTACACACTACACTGTCATCCATAGTCTGTTTTGAGATCTTCGAATTGCTGGATGGGGCACTACCGTTAGCCCAAAAGTGTTTTTTCACTTTGTTTTTATGTTTAGGACTTTGCGCTGATTGGTCGTCAGCATTGCCGTCAACTTTGCCTCTGAGATACTCCGAAGGTCCAGGGGAACGCTGGTCAGTACTTACTAGACCTGAAAAGAATTATAAATTAGGGAAATAAAATACTATGTAAGTACAATAGCATTTAACACCATCAGAATAGTTTAGGGGTTATAACAGTGAGTAATAATAATATCGTATGGCATTTTTGCCAGGGAGATCCTTTCGGATAGGATCAGGCTCTTTAATCCTATTTGAAGTAGCTATAGTCCAGCAAAGAAATAATGAAATAAGTCACACGCGTGATATCGTAAGTTATTGTATAATTTAGCTACCCTTATGAGTTTTACCAAGAAGAGTATCAGTTGCGGATAATTTATTTTTTATTTATTATGTGGCATATTAAGAACAAATAATTAAAAGCAATTAGCGGACAAATAGAACAATAAAACAAATGGAGAACAAGCTAGAAGAAAAAGTACAAATGGGCTGTACAGAGAGGAGCAATATCTAAAAAAGAAAAGGAAAACTTATAAAAATAGATATGAAAAACACGAACTGTAAAGTTAAGTAAAGTCAGATGAATAAGTTGTAGGTAATGTGAAAAATACTTTCTAAAGAGCATGCATATTATTATCAAGCTTAAGGTTCATTTTCTTTACTCGTTTTATGCATAATAAGGTTACTGATGTTATTTTATGATTTGAAGTGGACTTTTAGTTTAAAATGGTTTAAATAAAATGTTCAATGTTTATGACTGATCAGTAAGTAGTTCATCATCGTTCAATATATTATATTGATTTCGGATCATGCATATAATTTTGCTTGAATTGGTTAAATATAAGTCCAATAAATATTTACCAACACTTGGAATATGTTTTAAAAAATCATCACTGTGGTAAAACTAGAAGCACTGAATATTCACTCACTTTCAGTAACTGAGAGTACAATAATTTTAATAATAAGAAGAAAAAAACGATTCATTTAAACACACAATATCTGAATATTGACGTTATTATAGCAGAGATTAGTTGTGGAAGATACAACCGCAATAATATGGCAACAAAAAGTGACGTTCTTATCTAACATTATTCACTAACCATAAGATTTCAGATCAAATCGACAGATGTAAATAGTAAATACGACATTTAAAGAACAGGTATATATTATTAGTTTATTTTTAGCCTAGATGCGCTTTTATTATTTTATTTTATCCGATTTATAATTTTTTTATTGTTTGACATTGATATTATGTAAGATATTGTGAAAATAAAGGAATGGTAAAAGAAGTAAGATTAAAAAGGAGGCAAAAGAAAAATGGTTAACGGATCCATTCACTGAAAGAGAACAATATGGTAGAAAATATAACTCTTAATGGGCGACTACGTTAACTCTCATATTTAATAGCATATTTCGTGTTCTACCGACCACCATTACCTTCGTCTTGTCTATATTAATCTGCAAGCCCAGTCGTTCTCCTTCAGTGTTTATTCTATCCATTAGTCGTTGTAGCGCATCTTGGCTATCAGCTATTATGACTGTATCATCAGCATAGCGAAGATTACTAATAGTATGTCCGTTGATTTTGATTCCGTCTTCAGTGTCACTTAAGGCTCTATCTAAAATCGTTTAAGACTAAAGATTAAAAGGAGGGGTGACAGAACACAACCATGTCGTACACCTTTTTCGATTGAGAAATATGGTGAAGATTCAGTCCTACTCTCACAGATGCCACTTGATTCATATAAAGGTTCTTTATGATTTTAAGGTCATTCTCATCTATCGAACGTTCCTGGAGCAATATTACTAATTCTGAATGATTAACACAATCGAACGCTTTCTGGTAATCTATAAAGCATAGGATGACATATTTTTGCTGATCTCTGCATTTCTGAAGTAGGACAGTTAAGCTATAAAGTGCTTCTCTTGTGCCAAATCCTTGTCTGACACCGAACTGTGTGGGGCTAATGTCTCTTTCACATCTGTTGTATATTCTTGTGTGAATTATCTTTAAGAAGAGTTTTAGGACCTGGTTCAATAAGCTGATCATTCGGAATTGGTCGCAACTATTAGCGTTTGGCTTTTTGGGATTGGTATAAAGGTTAATTGAAGCCAATCCTGTGGTATTTGACCGGACCCATAAATGTCATTAAAAAGATCTACCAAGGCGTATATATTGTCTTCACTCAACATTGTTAGAACCTCGATAATAGCCTTATTTTCAAAGCTCTATGTATATGTCGTCTGGACCTGGTGCTTTTCCCCAAACAATAACAATGCTTAATTCTAATCTCTGATTAGTTATTAAGATAAGTAAGAGTGAACACTATATTTTAGATTTTAAAAGTTAGCTGCATAATAATTGGAAACTGACTTATGAAGTCTAATTTAGTAATGTTTTGATTAACGTAATATTCATTTATCCTATTTTCAATAAAATCAACTTTTCTTTTTGCCGTTTTCTCAAGTTTTTTTTCGAATCTATGTGCAGTTCTAATTTTCACATATACTTCTGCTTGAACATTTAACAAAATGTCTGTAAATTTAAATATGTCATGTGATTTATAAAAACATTCGTTAACTTTCGAGTGAAATGATTCACATGCGTTTATAGTAAATATAAGGCATGATGAATTTGAAGCCCACATGTAAGATGGAAATGTTGAATCTTCTGTTAAATAATTATCAACTAGGTAATCACCAAATTGCAAAACTCTGTCATCTTCTGGCATAATATTAAAAAGTTCATCAGAAAAAAGTTACCAACATCATTTGGATCTAAATAAGTAATACCGAAAAACAATTTTAAATATTTTTCAATAACATTTTGATTTTTATATTCCGAGGACAAACCTAAATTTTGAATTTTTCGATACCAATTTTGTGTTAAATGAAATTTGCAATAAAAAATAATAATGTCGGGCCACACTAACTTGGCTGAATTGCTATTTAAAAATCAGAAATTATTCTCTTCGGCTTGAAATTTAAATTCACATCTGTACATTGTATTATTGTATTGTATAATTATTAATGTATCAAAAGTACTTTTGTACGATTGCTGTGATTTATTTGTTAACAAAAAATACTAGAGGAACATAAAAACTATTTTTGTAGCCATGTATAGTAAACATTTGACAAAAATATTAAATAACAGTATTGAAAAGTTCCATCTACATACAAAGAATCTACATTACACAAAAAGTAAAGATTTGTGAAACAACTAAAAATTGTGGAATTATTTTTTGTAGATAATAAAGTTTTCACCTGTATTTGTTTTTAAATTTAAGTTCACTAACACTTAAAACTTTTTCCTGTTACTTGGTCAATGATAGTGTGGATTTTCGTCTTGCAGCATAGATATTTCTTCGAACGCAAGAAATGTCTTTCGTCGTCAGCCTTAAATTGCTGAAATTTTCCTTCCTCAATTCCTTGTGGACAATTTTAAAAGGTCTTTCACATATATCTTCTACTCTACAGCTTTCCTCTTTGTAGAATTACTAAAAATTTGCCGGTCAACGTGGATATCTGCTCCATATATTTAACCCATAATCATGCTCCACCGATGCTTTTTCAAGAATAACCCAATTTTCATCACCTTCCTTTGTGTACACTTTTTGTTGACACCCTTTTTTGATGCATCGCCATCTAATTTTTCCATCTTTGGAGAGATGGGCCTTTGAATATTTATATTCATTAATTATTAATAAAAGTTCTTCCCTTTGACTAAACATGGTCATTAAAAATTTATTCGCCATTTAAAAGTTAAACACTAACGGACAAAACTATATCGTAATACTTGCAACTGAAGTGAATAAGTGAAAATATTTATATTCTTACTTTCAACTATAATCAAATTTGGAATTTCCAGTCATTAAGTCATAATCCTCAACTTTCTCGGCGATGGGGTAGCAAGTACTTAGGATTAATGGGCCCAGGTAGTTCGTGGGGCAGTTAGATAACGCCGGTCTTAATATGCAAAAAAAAAAGAATTAACAAATACCAAAAAGGTGCCTATGGAATACTCAAAGATGATGACTTGTGGAAGGAATGCATAACAAGATTGTTTGACGATGATAGATTATTGCAAGATCCTGCAGGAATAGACAAGGGCGAATATTAAAATGGCAGGATTGGAACAAGCTATTACGAATCCAAATAACGGGAAAGCAGTAGTCTTAGATGGAATATCTGCTGAATTAATCAAATGCATAGTTATGATACAACATAATTTATATAGCAGGTATAATGGCTAAGTTTGGTAAGTTCAACAAGCATCTAAGTTTTTAGAATAAAAGCGTTGTCAAAGAAATATAAATTAAGGTTAAGATTTTCACAACTAATATGAATCTGAATACACAAGCTCTCATTTGTCGTCATCTTTTCAATTTAAAATTATTTGTTTATTTGGTTTATTATTATCTTGTAAACTTGCAGTTTGGTTACCTGATAAACTTGCAGTTTGCTGATATATCATTTTCGCTCAATGGAAGAATCATCACTATCTTCTCTAAATTCATAAATGTATTCGTCAGGCCGCAATATTTTTTCATTTCATGTTTTATTGAATCTATCTATCTATACAGCACTTGCTGTCCAATTTTGGACATAGGCCTCCTCTTCCTTTTCCCACGACTCTCTATTGTGGGCAGTTTGTATCCACTTCGGGTCTGTATGTTTTTTTAAGTCATCTGGCCATCTCATTTGTGGCCTTCTTCTTTTTTGTTTGTAACTATATGGTCTCCAGTGTATAATCATCTTATTCCATCTGTCGTCTTTCTGTCTTATGGTATGTCCAGCGAACTTCCACTTAAGCTTTGCTATCTGCGTTGATACATCGGTCACTTTTGTTTTGTTGCGGATCCAAGTATTTCTTTTCTTGTCTGATAGCCTGATGTTCAGCATTTGCCTTTCCATATCGCTTTGGGTCTTTGCTATGTTTTCCATGTTTTCCTTTGTAAACGTCCAAGTTTGAGAACCACAGGTGAGAACAGGAAGTATACATTGGTTGAAGACTCTGTTAAATATTGGGGGTATTTTCTATTTTTTAGTATAATGTTTTAATGAATACTAAACAAATAAACAAAAAACCGCTATAAGACTTTTGTTCATTTGTTTTTATATACTCACTACATACAACCACTGCATGTTCCGTGTCCATACATGGAAACACAGTTTGTGATTAAATATTGACTGTTATATGCACAGTTTGTGAAGAAAACATCGTAGAGAAGGCATATCGAAGATTGTAGGCTTTCATAGCTGGTGTTTGGATGTTTAGCATGGTCTAGAATTGTTCTTTCCTGACTTCAGTCTGTAACTGCAGCACACATTTTCAAAGGTGATAATAGTGGACATAACCTCCTGTCGCTCTTGTCAGTGATTGATAGATAAAATTTACCATTACATACAAACATTGTATGAGTTTTTTATGAAAAGATGTAAAATATTTGTTCGGTAATAAATAACAAATCGCTAGAAAGGTTTTCCGTATTATACTACAGATTTTGTATTTAAATATTATTTAGTTAATCGAATTAAAGCTCAAGAAATTTAGTAAGTTTTCATAAAACACATACTTTTTAAATAAACGTAAATCGTATTTCGCATTGGCTGATACCAATGTTATAAAGTTTGTACCATAATGTTCAAAAGGACCACAACTTATTATTTGGAATTGTTCGGAAGTAGCTAATGATAATTTACCTGCAGGTCTGTAGTCCTGCAGCATCTTGAAAAACTCATTATTAACAGTTATCACTTGCGGTCTATCAATAACATCTATCGATCCGTGGCTTCCATATTCCCTCTTCAATAGAGGAGAATTGGAATTCGACGGTCGGCCGTTGTGCTCGAGGAGTTCTAGACTGGAATTGCTGCGGCAGAGATGATCCGGGGCGTAGAGTTGTGGCCTCCTGGGGGCTGGATGGTGGTGGTGTCGGTCGTTGAAAGAAGACCTATAAAGACAAAGATGACATAAGTGAATAAATATGTAAAGACAAACTGGTTGATAACATAATACGTTAATTAACTTATTAACTAACAGACTAAAAGTTCACAGACTTTCATAAAAGACTCAGCAGCTTAGAAGACTCTTAACAACCAAAAAGGACGCAAAACTTATGATACCGACCGTCGCAGTGTAGACAATAATTATTTTTTTATTTGTTACAAGTTTAATGACACAAAAGAACTAAATATTTTCATTATATAGGAAGGAACATAATATAATGATAAAAAAATAAACGCACTTTAAGGCATGAGAAAATTGTCATTTTTCCATAAAAAATAGTGCTACGGTCTAACAATGACATGTTTCGCCCTGTATTGAGGCTCATCAAATACTTTTAGATTGAATACAAAATCAGAGGGAGCATGGCAGTCTTATCAAAATTTCTTGGAACTGTGCACCAACAGCCACTTGATTCACGATTATCTTGGTCCGCTCGGTCTCCCGATCTGTCAGCGACTTCTTTTTGTGGTGAATAGAGTCAAAAGTGTTTTGAAAGTGATCCACCCTGGACAATAATAGCTCTAAAAAAACGGATTCGTGACGAGATTGCAGCAATACCCGTCGATATGCTGAAAAGAGTTGTTCAAAACTTTCAGGCTCGACTCCATAAATAACAACTAAAACCGTTGGGCGATTTGGTGGCCAAAATTTTTTTTTACATTGAAATTCAAATGGCTATTTATTCTCTGACTTCCTTTTAGCAATATAATAATTCTTTATTAATAAAATTTAGGTACTAAATCTTCCCATTTCATTAGCTAACTCAGTATATTATGTACACGATAGAAACCTAATAATCATCTATTTTTTAAGCCCTTTTCTATATTCGGAATGCCGAATATAGGCCTCTCCTAATTCTCGCCATTCATCTCTGTTGTTTGTAAGACTCTGTTGTTGTTTCCACATTGGCCCTGCAGTTCTTTTAATATCGTCGCTCCATCGCATTTGCGGTCTTCCTCGTGGTCTTTTGGCTTCATATGGCCGCCAATCATCTATAATATCTACTAAATCAATGCTAAAAAGTAGATGACCTATTGACAAAGGCAATCTTGGTAAATGGAGGAGTCAGTCAAGGATGCATGCTGCCCCCGCTGTTATTTAACATAAAATTTGCACATATTTTCGCAAAAACGCTGGAAGAATAAGATGAAAGCATTGTAATGTACCTACCTACTCACATGTAAGATAATTAAAGTATCTATGTATTTCTATATAGTTTTTAGTCACCTGGTATATGTTATTTACAATTATGAAAAGTTCTCATGTATAATCACTAATAATTATTTGCTGTTAGAAATCAGAATCAATACTCTTCATAAATATTTTCCTATTTAGAATAAATAAGTTTCGCTAGTTTATTCGCCTAATACTTCGTATCTATGGAATAATAATAATTTATTTCTCTTATTTCTTTGTTCGATAAGCTATCCGTATTTGCTATTTTAATATTAATATTTGAGTCCAATCTCTTGTACTCAAATCCATCCAGAAACATCGTTAAATAATTGTAGATAACAGAACTTATAAATTTATAGTTTTAAGAAATAACAGGCAGTGTAATTTTCATCCTCTAATATAATAAATTTATACATGTCAATATATTCTGTTTAATTCCAAAACAAAGAGTTAGTCCGGAGAAGAAATAAACGCATAGTATTCCATAACAAAATTTGGTGTCAGAACGTGGGATATTAGTAGCAGAGTTCCTCTGATTGCTGATAGAAGGAGAGCTGAGGAATTTTTGAATTGACTTGTTTCCTTCGAGGAATCATTCAAAAAAAACTGTCAGTGTGGAAAAATCGCCACTACAACTAATTACATTGGGGTCCAGTACATCCAGTTCGAAATCCAGTTCCAGTCATAACCCAATTGTAGTTCCATCGGAAGTAGAGGTGAACCCGTGGAATAATAGACTATGCGACCAACAACAATATTCTACTTGTAAGTACATTCTATCTTAAATTCTGTCTCATATTTTAAAAATCTTGTAAACGTATGTCTACTTTATATCCTGATATAAGTAACTTATTTGACGAACAAATACCTTCTCCCGACTCAAATTCTCTTTCAAATTCTTCTACTTCTAATTCAAATAAAATGTCAGTATCAATTGAAATAGCTGAAAAACTTCTCATTAGATTTGATGGTACAAAATCAAAATTATACGAATTCATAGACAATTGTGATAAAGCATACAATTTAGTAAATCCGCAATCCAAACCCATCTTATTAGCCATTATAGAAACTAAATTAACCGATAAAGCTAGGGCCATAACTAGAAACAGAACATTTGACGAATGGAAAGATTTAAAAGACTTCTTATTAGATGCTTATTCTGAACGCCGAACTGAAGGTCAGTGGCAATTGGAATTACATTCCTTACGTCAGATGCCCAGTGAAAATGTAATGTCATTTGCAAATAAAGTTGAAAATTGCTATATAAAATTAATAAATACACTTGATCCAGACTTATCTCCAGATGCAAGAAATGCATGTACTAAACTCTTAAAAACTCAAGCACTAAATGTCTTTATTAGAGGATTAAACAAAGACCTCTCTATTTTAATCAAAGCCCGAAATCCAGATTCCTTAGAAAGAGCTGTTGCTATAGCAATTGCCGAAGAACAAGAACAGTTATCAAGACAAGAAATTTTCAAACCATTCTGTAATATTTGCAAACGAAATAACCATTCCTCAAATAACTGTCGATATAAAAACAATTCAGATAGAAATGTTAGATATCTTCAAAATTCTAGTTTTCAAAACCCAAAATATCCTAATTCAAATCTTCAAAGGTCAAATTCTCAAAATCAAAATTATAAACCTTCAAATTCAAATTCCAATTCTGATTTTCCTCCAAACTTAAGAAAAGAAAATACCAACACTTCCCAACGTTTTTGCAGATACTGCAAAAAACCAGGTCACGTTATAGAAGAATGTAGAAAACGCGAATTTAACAATAAAAACAAAAATCCAACAAATTCTTTAAACTTCCAGAATCCTCGACAACCAACGGTCGATTCTCGAGGAGTTCGTTCAGTTCAGGCCGTATCACAACCATCAACTTCTCAGTCACTTCCTATGTAGATTTACCCTTAGTAAATAATTCTAATCCATCCTCTTGCAAGTTTCTAATCGATACAGGCGCAGATATTTCTTTAATTAAATATTCAAAAATACTAAACATTCCAAAAATTTATTCTAAGTCTATTACTCTACGAGGCATTGATAAAAATGTCTTAAATCCAAATAAAACTATATGTAGTTGTAACGTAAATTTCAAGATAAAAGATTTTGTCCAAACTCATGTTTTCTATGTCGTAGAAGACGATTTTCCTCTTCATTTCGACGGTATATTAGGTAGCGATTTTTTTGAAATAAATAAATGCCAAATTGATTATAAAGAAAATAAATTAAACTTTAAAAATTGTTCTATTCCAATTGAATATATAAAATTTCCATTAAACAATGACAATGACGAATTTCTGAGAGATCAAAATATCGAGACAAGTTCTAATATCGATGAAATATTTCCTTATGATGCTAAATCCATAGAGGATCATTCTTATTTAGAAACCAATGATATCCAAATAACCTTAAGTAGTGAAGAACTACTATCCAATCCAATTCAATCTAAATCTAACTCTAAATCCAAAGAAAATTCAAGTCCAAAATGTGTTAAATCCACTGAGATATGCACAAATAAAACTTGTAACTCTTCACGAAATCATAAATCAAAATCCTGTTCAGAAGAAAAATCCTGTTCAGACGATCTTATACTAAATCAAAACTCTAATTCTAACTCAAGAAGTAATAAAACTATTCTATCCGCAAGAACTGAAACAATTGTTCAAATTAAAGTAATAAATAATGAATTAAGCGAAGGATTATGTCCCGAACGCGAAATCTTTAAAGGTGTATTTTTATGTCCTAGTGTTGTTAAAGTAAAAAATGATTTCTTTTTAACCTCAATCGTAAACACTACTGAAACGGATGTTGAATTAAACGATATTCAAGTAGCAATAGAAAAAATTCCAAATTTACAAAACAATGCAAATATACGAAAAATGTCTTCTTATAAAGATAATACGAATTCTAACAGAATTGCTAAATTAAAAAATGCCTTGAGAACAGATCATTTAAATAGTGAAGAAAAATCATCTTTAATTTCTATTTGCAAGGAGTACAATCATATCTTTTATCTGGAAGGAGATCAACTTACCAGTACAAATGCCGTAACTTGCAAAATTCCTTTAAATTCTAATGTACCTATTAGCACTAAATCATACAGGTATCCTGAAGTACACAAACATGAAGTCGAAACTCAAATAAAAGGTATGCTAGATCAAGGTATTATCGAAGAATCAACTTCGCCATGGAATTCGCCCCTTTGGGTTGTGCCAAAAAAGGCCGATGCTTCAGCAAAGAAGAAATGGCGAATTGTTATAGACTATCGACGACTAAATGATATTACTATAGGAGATTCATTTCCACTTCCGAATATAGTCGATATATTAGACCAATTGGGTCATTCAAAATATTTTTCAACAATAGATTTAACATCAGGATTTCACCAGATCAAAATGGATCCTGAGGATTCTCCAAAGACTGCTTTCTCAACTCCGTCTGGACATTATCAATATTCACGAATGCCATTTGGATTAAAAAATGCTCCCAGTATTTTTCAAAGGCTAATGAATACTGTCCTCTCAGGAATACAAAATTACAGATGTTTTGTCTATCTCGACGATATAGTCATTCATGCCGATACATTAGAAAATCATAATAAAAGATTAAAAGAAGTATTCGAAAAATTGTCTACATTCAACTTAAAAATACAACCAGATAAGTGCGAATTTTTTCGTCGCGAAGTAATGTATTTAGGACATTTAATAACTGAATTTGGTGTCAAACCGGACGAAAAAAAGGTATGTGCTGTTACAG